CGCTTGATATGGTCACTCGCGAGAAAACCTGTTGGACAATTGTATATATAAATAACGACTTCAGAGAAGCGTGGACAGTCTCTGATACAAACGAGAATGTAAGAGTCACGACGTTTGACGCAGGATTGGTGTGAAATAAAATCTGAAGGAAAGAAATATTCAAATTTTCATGTTATTATTCTCCGGCACCTCAACACTTCATTACACTTCCAAAAAAACAAAAAAGAACAATAGAGTTCGTAGGTCAAGCAATTTGACGATGAAAGCAAAAAATTATTCGCTAAATACTTAGATTTTTCGTTTGGCGGTGTTTAATTATTACAAATAACATTATCTACATAACAGAATAGGCGTTTAGCCAATTAAAAACTAGAATATATAGTTATCTAAATGTTTAATAGATGGTGAGTATGGCAGTGAATGCTGAACAATTTCCTCACAGAGGAAGACAAGACACGAAGTAACAGAAATGTGGTTCTACAGAAGGATACTGAGAATAACATGAACGACGAAGTTTTAGAAAAAATTGACACAAAAAGGAAACTTACACTTAACATCAGAAACATAGTTGAAATTTGTAAGGAATATAATGAGGAAAGAGGACTTTGATACTAACAGAACATATTGAAGGCAAGAGGGACGGAGGAAAGCAGCATGTAACCTACTTAACGAGCTTCTGTAATGGCAGAACAGGGTTTAGGAGAGGTAGCGAAAAGACAAAAATTACTAAGGGCTATAAAGGAAAAGAAATTGTCGAGGGCCATGATCATCAACGTCCTGAAAGGACATGGCACAAAGAAGAAGGCGATTTTGTAAGGTATTTAGCATCCAAGTCGAAACAATTTTTTCATTGGTGCGTTATCCTGAGATAATATTTGACGTCATTTCCGTTCCAGAAACTTCTCTTCACTTGCTGTGTTCACTCAATCTCATTGGATGTACCAATTTTTGTCGCCACCAACGATGTACAATTATATATCCTTTCTTAAAAAATTAGTTTAAAAATCTAGCCAAACCCACATTTTATATAAAATATATAAAAGACGTTGATTCTATGATCTATTAACCAAAACCTTCAATGAAATAAAAATCTAAAATATTTTTTTTCTAAATATTTCTATAATCTGTCACATTTACGACCTTAAAATAAACAACAGATTTCAGTTCCTAGATGTTTCAATCGAATGGACCCCTGCCACCATTAAAACAAACTTTTAGCTCAAACTCTTGTATCGGATAATTTAAACAGTAAACGTCTCACAGTTACAAACTTGCTATAATAAACTTGCTGTAATTAAAACTTCACAAACGGACTGCTATTAATTTCACACGTACTTCCTGAAATCTGTTATTAACAAGGCATTCCACAAATCTATGACATATATTTTACTAGGCGTAGAAGACTAAATAAGTTTGATAACAAGATTTCAATCCTCGATCGAACTCTGATAGGCACAGCAGAAAAAATAAAAGCACCCCGACCAAAAAAGACAAACATATATATATATATATATATATATATATATATATATATATATATATATATATATATATATATAAAAGAAATGGTTGGTTTGAATAATTTCTCATAATTATTCTCGATAGTGAATGCGCACTGCTGATGAGTGTGACCTAAATAGGACAAAACGACTGTCCATTGCGTTCCTATACATTCTGTTGAAGATTCTTGTTTCTACACTCGATTTATTATTATGATATATATATATATATATATATATATATATATATATATATATATATATATATTGTTCCTGAGGAACTTTATCAAGTTAAATCAAGAGACAAAATACCATGTAAAAAAGGTTTTCCTTTTATCTTTTGCTCATATTGTCTTTAAAGATGTACTTCAATTATACCTGAATTTTACACGCACGCATGCACATACACGCATATATATTAAAGCCTGAGAGAGTTCAGGCCTGAAAACCAGTAATTGTATTTAGAGAAGGGGTGCTGGAAAGACTTAATATATCTAGTTCATAAGAACGTTTGAGCTTATCTCAATACCAAGAACATGTAGCGGGCAAACACTTACGGTAACTCCAATTTTGTTGTTGTTACAATGATACGGTGTTACAGAGCCTTATATGTTTCCTTCAATTATATCATTGGCAGTATATCGATTAAGCGGACCTCTTTCTTCTCTGTTCTTCAAGCATCGACCATATTCTGAGAAAAGATGTAAATTCCGAAATCTGCACTGATTGCTAAAACCTCAATGCGTACAGATGGCTCGTCTAAAATTATTGGCAAATTGTCTGTTTGCTTTTAGTCAGATGTATTTAAGTGAAGTGCCTTGTCCGGACACAAAGAAAACAGAATAAGAAAATCGTGAGCCAAGAGATTTGTGGGCGGATTTCCTTAATTTTTCATCCAATTTTCATCTCTTTTTGACGGCGTTGCTTCCTCTCCGAGGATGTGCTAACAATTCCCGTCGGAAAATGGTTTCCGATTGGATATATTGAAAGAATATAGGCATAATATCGCCAACAGAGGCTGTATAAATGTGTATCTGTGTGGAAGGTTAAACGCTAAAACATTAAATAATAGTTTAATGCAGTTTGACTCCCGTTTCTGGGTGGAGGAACATCGTTAAATTAGATCTCATTTTGAAGACGGTGAACACGTATTGGCACATTTAGAGACCATAGAAGTTAATCGTTTAAATATAAATAAACAAAAAAACTAAACATTTAGGATCAAAACGGGGACAATGCTGTAATTCAGCTTTTGTCAATTTCAAATTCAATGTTTTGAATTTGAATTTGAGCGTTTCTTTTATATGAATTTTGGCTTTTTTTATTTCATACTGAACATTTTTTTAATTTGAAGTTCAATTCGAGCAAATAACTAATGCGTCACGAAAATATTTTCTGAGATTATACCTCTTTTAATTACTATACATTTTTACCATTAGATTTACTTCAAATTAGAAATTGTTAAGTTTCAAACTAAAAAATTTCAAATTCAAATTAAAAAGCTCAATTTGAAATTAAAATTTAAACTTCAAATTAAAAACACTGAATCTAAAATTGACAAAAGCTGAATTTCAAATACAGTGTAATCTCGGTTCACGAATTTAATTCCTTTCTGAAGCACATTCATAACCCGAAATATTCGTAAACCGAAACTATTTTTCCGATAGAAATCAATGTAAAATGGATTAATCCGTTCCTGGTCCCAAGATGATTGTTTATTTAAAATTTAACAACAGTACTTTGTGCACAAGTTTATACGCAAAACTAATGAAAATCATTAAATCTATAAAAAAAAATAAATAAATAAACCCAATACTAAACAGATAAAATATAGACGAACACTTTAATCTTACCATACCTATAAGTAAGATAGTTGATGTAAGTAGAAGGGGAAGGAAAGAGATGTTATTGCTTAGAAAAAGGGAAGGAAAGACATGATCGTCTCTTTATTTATAAGAATAGTATAGATCGTTGATTTTGCCATGCTAAACTGAGTAGGAAGAGACAATATCTTCAACAACTGTTTTTCTCTTTTCTTTTTCCTTTATAGAGTATCACTGCTAGCTTTCTTTGCAGCCATGACTAAGAGCTAATGAAGAAAAAAAAAAGACGACAATACAATAAAATTGGAAAAGAAAAGCACAACACATGAATGTATACAACATGGCTGCCGACTCAGAAATGATTTCGTTCGAGTTAGCTTGGTTTGGGTCGGTTCGGCAATGTTATTCGAGAACCAAAATTTTGTTCGATAACCGAGGCATTTTCATCTTGAATTTTCTGTTCGAAAATCGATTTGTTCGACATGCGAGACGTTCGAGAATTTGAGGTTGCTCTGTACATATAAACGTAAAAAGACAAAATGATTTTTTATTATTAGATTGATTTGTTTTTTGTTGTTTTTTGTTTTTTTGTTTTTTTTTGTAAGGCTTCTCAGCACTTTCTGGAGGTATTTAGAACCAAAACATATTTTAGATTGTTGGAATTTTTTTGTGAGTCAATATTACATTAATAATTTTTTGAGAATAACAATTTACGTTTATTCTGGAAGAAAAGTTTACTGGGGTCCAGATAAGGGAGTCCAGAGCAGATTATGGAAATTGTTACAGTAAATGGACGCTCGAGCTGCAAATGGCTGGCGAAGATTTAACAAGATTTGAGCTCAAGGAAAAATAATCTAGAGTGCAAATCAGCGAACCATACGCTGCCGGTACTCGAATTATACGCTGCTGGTAAGCGGACTATAGTTGTGCCGATACATAACAAATATACTACAGGTACCCGAACCACAAGTTGCTGTATGTTACCCATAGGCTGCTGATACACTAACCATAAATTGACGGTACGCGAGCCATAGGCTTGCCGGTACGCGAGCCATATATTGGCGATAAGCGTACCAAAAAAACTGTTGATATGCAGCTACGGCAAATGAAGAATGGAAGATTATTTCACTTCGTTCTTTCTTGATAAATGTAAAAGAATATATTCTGAATTCACTGAAACAGATTTGAAAGCCTTTCTAACTTTTCTTTTAAAATAATTCCATGAGACTTGATTCCTAACGAGTAATGTTATCGGCAAAATACAGAAGCCAAAAGATACCCACTCTCAGTTGTATGTCTTCAGAGGTAAAAGAATTCATGCTCATCTTTCGCATTAGAAGCACCAGTATATTTATTATTGTTTTAATTTTGCGCAATACAATATTATCATTACCTTTTTAATATACTTTTGGTTAGGTACCTCCACTAATTCAGTATACGTAAGGTTTAAAATGAATTTTTAAAATGAAAAACCTTTCTTGAGGCTCTCATTTTAGTTTAATTGAAAGCTAAAAGATTTAAAATTTACTATTTCGAGTAAGCAAAATACTCTGTGATGTATTTCAAATAGAAATTATATTTATTGGAATCGATTTTTTTTTCAACTTTCTTTATAAAACAAAAGTTAATTTTCGGTTTTAAAAATCTCGCAAAAATAAAATATATATTTTTGAAACGTTATTTGAGGAAAATTAGCAGATTGAAAGGTAAATTAATCTGATTTGAAAAAAAAATTGTATACAAGCATTTTTTTCAGCACGTTTTCCTGGTGTTAATCAATAAACGAATAAGCACCGAACGTGCTCAGTGTTAAGTATGATGGAGCAGAAGATAAAGTTTATATGAAGGCTTTTTCCCCGTAAGTGTAGAGGTGGCAACTCTTAAAACACGTGACCTTTTAATGATAATGTTATAGGTTTAAAGAACCATAAAAAAAAAAAATATCAGTGATTTAAATTCTTCAAAAATTATGCTATAGTCACTAAAAATTATCACGTTGAATTTCTCGAGTAGGGGTGAAACACATGTAAATAAAAAAAAAGAAACCTTTAGATGATTTTCTAATTAAAAAAATTCAGAAATAATTTGCTTCATTTGTGAATATGTCCTGAAAATTTCATTTAAAATCCGACAATTTTTTGATTTTTGCAAGTATTTCAAATTAAGGAGACTGTCACCGAAAAAAGAGGCTAAAGTTTGCTTAAAGTTAGTAAAACCGCTGACGCTAGAAAAACAAGTTTTTTATTCAAAATTTCAAATGTTCGGAAAAGGAGTAAAACATTAATTAAATATTTTAAAAAATACTTTCATCCTTCCTCTTAATAATAACATAAAGAATTTGACGATAAACCTATGTTTTCATTATCCATGAAACATCTTTTTCTCACAGTATGCTGCTTTTTCAGCTATTTCGTAGATTTGCTTATTTTTTATCATTTCCTTTTATTTATTTTGCAATGTTGTATTACTCCTGTCTGAATTTCTATGGTGTGGATTTATCATTTTATATATTAGAGGGGGGTCCGTGACATACGACATAGTCTTGTTCTTACGATGCATCGTAACATGATTTTCCGTGTAATTTGGAACGTACTCGTGATTTTCCGTGAATAAGCTCTTACGTCACTCCCCTATGCTGAAGCAATAGTAAAGTAATAATCATAGCAAAACTTTTCTATGATATATGTTAACATAATTAGGGCTAAGAAAAACACATACAAAGGACATAAATATAATACATGTAATTAAATGAATAGAAAATAATATAATCAAATGAAATTGTATTAAACTGCTTGTATATTTATTGCCAGTGGTTCTTAGTAGATAAGACTTACTAAAACATCAGGTTGAGACACAATGTCGGTTTAATGTGAGGAGCCCGAGCAAGTAAACCCGGGCTAGGAACAAAAATTACTCGAGCCTCCGCAACAATCTTTTCCGCTGGCCTCGGTGCGAGCACTGATCCCTCTCTCTGGTGCAATGAGAGGGCGCGGCCTCGGGCAGCTTTTCTCCAGGGCTGGTCACCTTTCAGTATAATTTTCGTTAGTTGCGACTCTCTACTTTGACGGAGCCACCCATGTGTGAACTCTGCCCAAAGACAGAGACGCAAATGAGAGATGATAAATAAACGTGTTAAAAATTACTAAAGAACAATTTACACACTGAAGCGCCAACAAATCCGGGGAAGAAAGAAAAATAAACTTTTTGTCGGGAATTAACTCGCCCATAAATTAGTATAAGAAAATATCCTTAACTCTTACAGGGAAACTGAATATAAATACACATATGTACATGTTTTAAGGAACGTAAAACCTACATAAAAACACAAGGTCGATGTTGATAAATATGTGTATGTATATAATGGTATGTACGAGGCATACGGTATAATTCGAAAGAAAATTAATTGAGACTGCGTTGTAGCCAGCGATCATCGTAGGCCGGGACTGATGTAATCCGGGGACTTATTGTAATTATATTCTGACGATTGTCCTCATTTTGTTGTTGTTAACACAACGATTCGGCTGTTGTGTTCTCCGGCCTTCATCAGGTCTATATCTATCTGAGTAACTTATAGGGAATGCCGAACTGAAATGTTTAATAAATCTATGTTCTCGTGCTACTGTCCATGTCTAGAGATATCTCGGCTAGTTCTTATTTTTAGTATTGCTCAGTTATTGCTTGTCTGTTTCCACTGAGTCCAAGCACATACTGCCCGACCCAGGGATTGAACTCACAATTAGTATGTCACCAAATTCACGCACCAAAATTTTAATCCAGTAGTCAGTACTAAATATAAGAACGGCTGAAACTTTATGATAGCAACAACAGAGATGAGGTCGATAGTCCGAATATAAATAGAAGAAATAATGTTGTGTAACTTTTTTACAAAAGAAATACGAATTAATGTTTAAGGACAAAAGGAAAACTTATCTTTCTCAGAGGGATTTTATCAAGGCAAAAGTCCCTCAGAAGAAAAAAAAGATAAGTTTTCTTTTTATCTGTTTATATTTCTGAGTTGAGGTATTATATACACTATTTACATTGTTCGGACTATCGTCCTCATCTTTGTTCCGTCTTGGGTAAGACGATAAACTACCGCCAACAGCAAGGCCTCTGATCAGGAGGTTATGAGGAGCGTGGAACCACCTCTTAATTGCTGGTGTTCCCAGGTCCACCCT